GGTACTTTCATAAGGCTCTTGTAAAGAACTGGGTACTTCAATAAGGCTCCAGTAAAGGACTGGGTATTTCAATAAGGCTCCAGTAAAGGACTGGGTACTTCAATAAGGCTCCAGTAAAGGACTGGGTACTTCAATAAGGCTCCAGTAAAGGACCGGGCACTTCAATGAGGCTCCAGTAAAGGACTGGGTACTATCTTAAGGCACAAGTAAAGGACTGGGCACTTCAATAAGGCTCCAGTAAAGGACCGGGCACTTCAATAAGGCTCCTCTAAAGGAATGGCTGCTTCAGTAAAACTCCAGTAGCTTGCACGACCACCTCGATGTAGTATTCACTGTATTTGCTGTACCTAGGCCTGTACATCTGTAATAACTCTGTAACGTAATCAACCCGTATCAATATAAGTCTAAAATATACGTTGTGTGTATCACTTATCCCTTACACAATCATCGAATACGTGTCCTCAGGTTGAACCTATACATTTAATACACACTTGCGGCACACTCCTCCCCCCCCCCCTTTGCAGGTATACACATAAAAATTCACTAGTACCAAAATTTTATCTCGTGCTAGACTAAAAGACACAAAAATGCATTAAAATAATAATAATTTGTTTGTGCTGCCGCAGGCTGCCGCATATGGCTGGGCCAGCGCGTCTGTGCGCGGGGCGCAACGAAGTTGTGGAGGCCGAGGCTGCCATGTTCCGATACTTCTTCAGAGGTGGGTGAAGATTGGGGCAAACGTGGGTTAATGGTGGGTCAAAGGTGGGTGAAGGATGGGTCAAGAGTGGGTCTCCAGCCGGTGCAGCCAAGAATCTGATCTGAATTGATGATTATCTCCTGATAATTGATGTTAGTCACCGTGGGATTGATAACGATATTGAGGTAAGTGATGATAATCACCATTAGTAAATGATAATCTCAATTAAATTGATGCTAATCTCCTTGTAATTGATTATTATCGCCATTAAATATGCTATTCCCTTAACATATGATAACTCTATTGAAGAGGAATCAATAAAAATAGAACGGACGATGGTTAGCCTATCCATAGAGCGAGTTAAGTGATACGAGGCACGTGAGTCATGCTACTTAAACGTGTAACGGACTAATGAGAGGCACGTGAGTCATGCTACTTAAACGTGTAATGGACTATGGACTAATGAGAGACACGTGAGTCACTCTACTTAAACGTGTAACGGACTAATGAGAGGCATGTAAGTCACGCTACTTAAAGGTATAACGGACTAACGAGAGACACGTGAGTCCAGCTACTTAAAAGTGAAACGGACAAATGAGAGACACGTGAGTCCAGCTACTTAAACGTGTAACGGACTAATGAGAGGCACAAGAGTCACGCTACTTAAACGTGTAACGGACTAATTAGAGGCACGTGATTCGCGCTACTTAAACGTGAAATGGACTAATGAGAGGCATGTGGTTCGGGCTCCTTAAACGTGTAACGGACCAATGAGAGGAACGTGAGTGAACTACTTAAACGTGTAACGGACTAATGAGAGGCACGTGATTCTCGACTACTTAAACGAAAAAGGGACTAATGAGAGGCACGAGAGTCACGCTACTTAAAAATGTAACGAACTAATGAGAGGCACGTGAGTCATGCTACTTAAAAAAGTAACAGACTAATGATAGGCACGTGAGTCTCGCTACTTAAACGTGTAACAGACTAATGCGAGCCACGTTCACCCATCGCGTTCACCCGTCACCCAGGGACGTTCAAGGAAGCTTCGCATGCCCCCAGTCGTGGGTGCATGCGAGCTTCATCCCCGACACCGACACCCGCTGGTCACTCACCCGCACGGCACACGTCACGGTGGGTGAACAGCTCACTCATTCTGGTGGGTTAGGGCATGAAATTGGGTGAATTATTTAGTGTATGATGTTTTGATTTATAATAAACAACTTCTAAAAGCTTTGGTTTCCGAATTGGCGTAAATAGTACACAAAGAGTGGAAATTTTTCAAGTTTCAGACGGTCCGCTAGAATTCTCAGAATGTACCTACTAAATGAATTATAAAGTTAAGTTTTTACCTTCTTAGAGTAAATTGTATTTAATTGGGTGATATGCTCCATATTTCGGGGAGTGTACTATAAGTTATATCTTTGAGTTGACAGTTATAATAAGTGTTTTATAAAATAGATAATTATTTTCATCATTAGTGTACACAATGATAGATATAAAGCAGTACGAGGAGCACTACTCTTACCTGTGGTCGGACCTGGGGGAGTGTGCTGGGGGAGTGCTGGGGGATGCTGGGGGAGTGCTGGGGGAGTGCTGGGGCTGCTGCTGGGGGAGTGCTGGGGCTGCTGCTGGGGGAGTGCTAGGGCTGCTGCTAGGGGCGTCGGCCCCACGTGTCTGCAGGTCCTCGCCTTCGTCGCGCGGAGGCTCAGGCTGCGCTGACACACTTCGTCATAAACTGCGACCCTTCACTTAGAGAAATGAGTGGGGCTTTGTCCAAAAAGCGATACACTTTTTGTGCATATGTGGGTCATCGTGACCCGGTTTCCCTACCGGGTCCCAACGCGCAGGCTCAGGTTGCGTTGATACACTTCATCACTTCATCAAAAATTGTTGCCCATCACTTAGGGAAGTGAGCGAGGCTTTGTCCAAATAGCGATGCGACCATGGCGCTTGTTTGGGTCATCCTGGCCCGGCTGAAGGGCGTATCTGGGCCCATACTTTCAAAAAAAAAGTTAAGAGATCGTAAGTTCATCAGCCAATCATTGACGGCCTTTCAAGCCAAATCCACCAATCATAGACAAGAAAATAGAGCATAAGTACTTACGTTCACTTAGCGAGTTTTGAAGGTATGGCCCCAGGGCTCTCTAATCGTGTTATGGGTAGGAAAGTGTGTCGCTATTTAGACAAGATGACCAAACCATTTTTTGGGTGTAGGTACAAGGCTGCGTAATCTGGCGTCAATGTTATTCGTACCTGAAATCCTGACGACGAGAGTTACCGTCACTGGGCACAAGGTTCCACCATTTCAATCAAATTATAAGTTATATCAACAGTCAATGTATGCTAATTCTTCATCGAAAGTAGTAAGAATTCAAATGTTTTAATAATATTTATATTGTCATTAATGTTCAGCTGGGCGATTTTTCGATGTATTCAAATATATCTTATACCGAGTACACCAGTAATTAAAAATGATCGCGATTTCATTCAGGTATCTTAGAGGACTGATGATGGTGATCTTATTTCATAGCAGCAATTTACTGAGAAGAGGAATAGTCCAACAGATTGTGATATCAACACATATCTGATATTGGCCCGTGTGCTAAATAGGGCACTAACACTACGAAGTAGCACTACGCACTACAAGCCGTAGTGCCGTACTAGTATGACATGGAACACTACGGTTGGCATGCTAAATAGGGCACTAGCACTATGAAGTAGCACTACGCACTACAAGCCGTAGTGCCGTACTAGTATGACATGGAACACTACGGTTGGCATGCTAAATAGGGCACTAGCACTATGAAGTAGCACTACGCACTACAAGCCACAGTGCGGCATGGAACACTACGGTTGGTATGCTAAATAGGGCCAAAAGCGTAACCCGCACTACAAAAATCTGAAGTGTCCTACACACGGTAACACACCGCACTTCACGACTACACTACGGTATATTTAACCTTGTTTACTTCGTCAGCTATGGATCTGTTTAGCTTACAGCAAAGGCATCATCTCGTAAAGACCTCAGGAACTACATGCCATGAATATAAAAAAGTGTACCGCTTCAGTGAACAACATGTTATTCTTATGGCTGACATTTTCCTTGGCGAAACAGATGAACAGTGTAGAAGTAGAAAATATTTTTCTTGTTTTTGATACCATGTTTTGAATTTTCTTTTTTGTTTTTTTTTCTGGAGTCATTTTGAATTCTTCTGCAAGAACTTTCCATGCTTCTCTCTTTTGTTCGATGTCTTTGGGAAAAGTGGACTTTGAATATATGATGGGGAAAGGTGCTCAGACGCATTGCGAATTTCAGCTCATCATCACAATTTTCACTAGTACCATTTCCATCACAATTAGACATTTTACATCAATCTTCTGCAAAGAGTGAGAATTACTTCGGGAATAATTAATTATTTGAGCACTTAACTACCATTCTTCAATAGACTCATAGCGTAGTGCGGCACTATAAAGTACTCTAACAGCGAAGTAGCACTTCAAAGTTTTTTCTGCATACGAATCAGTAGTGCGACACTAAGCGACACTAAACATTGTAGAGCTACTTCGAAGTGCTTAGTGTCTGCGACGTATTTAGCATACCAACAGGACACTTCGTAGTGCATAGTGCTACTTCGTAGTGCTAGTGCCCTATTTAGCATACGGGCCATGGATTGCGCCGAAGTCGTAATCAAATTAGCATTTGGAATTTGATTCAAAACCTATTGTTCCCAGTCAGTTTCTTTTGTATGTTGACCGCTTCCATGTATGCACGGCCGTCTTTCATAAGAATATACTGGACTGAATGGAGGAAAAGTTTATCGTATCAAAACAAGTCCAGAGGAAGAAATATTTCGATTGCTATGTTCTCGAGATCATAATGAATCTCCTGTGCCAATTATTCCGGATTCGCAACGCCACCATTACTTGAAAATGGCGAAAAACAAATTTACACAACTACACATGACACCCTATACAGGTCATTTATCAACTATGCGACGGCGACGAGATGGTGCAGGTAGTCCTTGAGTGTAAAAATCTACTAGAAGTCATACAAACCACTTCCAAGTACTGGTGCGTAGTTCAATAAAAAGAAGCTTAAGCTTTCCTTCCTTCACGGAATCAGACTATTTTCTGGCGAACCAAATGCCCTATCGCTCCGTGTCATTGTGGAAACTTAGAAATTTTACAAGGGAGCTTCGGCAACAATAACCCTCCGTCTACCTATATGCGAATGTCTCTCATTCTAAACTTTAGTTAGCTCGAACTTCAACTTTTCGACGGAGCAATTGAAAGACATCAGTGAATCACTTCACTGTCAGCATTTGATTAAAATATTATTCGCTTAAAAAGTTACATAATAGTTAGGATAAAATGTTATCAATATCAGTTAAGAACAAATTGGCGCCGCAGCGGCGAAATTTATGTTCCTATAATGAAGTTGGGTCGTCGAATGGAGTCCATGCTGAACCGCGGCCGTTAGCTCTATAATTTTTGTCGGGACTGGCGTGAAGCCTACTTGATCCGAACAGCGGTCCTCTAGCTTCTGAAGATCATCACGGCCAGGAGCAGCAACATCCCGAACATAGTAACTATCTTGACGAACAGTTCCAGCTTATCACGCTCCAACTCGATGAGGTCTGTAGGAAAAAACTTAAAAATTACACGCTTGCTCAGTATCTATTGTACCTCTCATTTGGGAGTAAGATTATACAGAATTCTGTTGTCTAGTTCAGTACAGACGAGGAAAAGGAATTTCTGTCTTACAACCTGCATAAAACCCTCTAATTTTCATGTGGATGTTAATGAGGTCAAGTCATTAGAATTATCTCCAGAAATGGCATTCTAGCTGACGACTCTTTCACGTCTAGCTCAAAGCCAATAAATCTACTCTACTCTTCACATGGTAATCCTTCCCTCCTTCATTCGACTAGTAATCTCCTACTAGTACTAGTGATAGATGTACTACACCAACCAAGCGCTCACAGTTCATCAATGCACTGCAAACAATTTGACCTTTTGTCAACATTACCGGATTTGATTTCCTTCGTATATCAAATATTAGTAAATAGTCGTTTCCAGGTTGAAGGTGAGGAAATAGCTGCAAGATAATTCTAGTATTTATGTTCTTAAAGGTTTCCCAAGCAACAACATTTACTACCCTGCTCCATCTCCACAGCGATGACGATAAAACAGGCGGCTAAGTATGGGAAAATGTTTAGTATAAACCCCGTCGGCCAGTCCCATGGAACCCGCTCAGTTGGGCACCGCAGTGCTATTTCCGTCAAGTTCTGCGTCATGTTTCAGTTAAAACCTGGCACAAAGATTGATTGAAATTGTAACGTGTGTTTATCTAAAATTGCATTCTGCCGAATTCAATCTGCATTAAGGGCAACAAATAGTTCAACTGGCCTTAGTTACCGGTCATTGCTCACTAGTGGTCAATAATTTTTGCTAGAATTTATGTGGTTAAACCGGCAATGAAGATTTCCGATACTCATGGCACGTTATAGGAATATTAATTTAACTTCGTACATATTGACCAGATATCCTATGCCTCAAACATTACTCAACTAAATCCGTACATAACCCTCTAGCACCGTACGTCACTCTCTGGAAACTTAACTTTCAACTGAAATCATATGATAACTATTTAGTGTAGCAACCAGAGGACGTTTGTACGCAACAGAGAACATTTTAAAGTTATCATACGTGGCGGCAACCATCAGTGAAATTCATTTTGAGCTCACTAGAACGTATCCTTTTTGAGTCATAAGAAGGCTTGAGATTATTTTACTCTGGTTACTCGTGTCAGGCGGTACAGGGTTAATCATGACATTCCAGGAACTAATACATCACTAGACAGAATTCTTAGCTATAAAGTTCATATATTCCAGGATATATGAACTGGATACTAACCTAATGTTACCATAACCTATCTCTTATAAGTAAACGACGTCGACTGGCGAGAAGATTGCTGGGAGATGATGCAAAAACCTTTTCTGCTAATTTGTCTCTTTAGTCAGAGTCTTGGAAATTTGGGCATTATATTATTTACAGCGAAGTGTACATTTTCTTTTACGATTCAGAAAAAACACATGAAGTTAGATGACACATATTATTCGCGCAGTTGAAATTAAGTCGCATGCAGTACTTCACCTTTTCCGGACTACGGCAAAAGAACCTATTAATGATATTACAACTTAATGTTATATGGCGATTAACTAAGCAATTTCATTGATGTAACGTCTGTGAGTTGATGAGAGATGAGCTACTTCGATGACCGGCGCTATGCACGATTCAACATGATCAATTCGTGAACATTTATCGTTTATCCCTATTTTTCAACTCGTGAACAATAATTAAATTGAATACACACATTCAATACTCATTACGTGTTGTCGAAAATTTGTTTCCTATTTTTACCTCCAGATTCAATTAGACAGGTATAACGGATGAATTCGGCCACTTCGGCACGCTTATTCCCCTCAATTCTTAACCAATAATTATGAAATTGAATAATATGCTTTTAATCCCAATTACGCAGTGGCGAGGATATATGGTTACCTCCTCATTTGAATATATAGTGTAGCACGTTATACTATAATTATTGTCGCATTGTCATTCTAGTGTCTGCAGTCGTTTGCATGAATGATGATCGTGAGTCTTCTGGACCAGAGAAGATTCCTGTACACCACGACTTTATTCAAGGCAACCGTATTGAAGGGATAGTCAACTAAATTGTAGCCAGTCTGAAAATTGTTGCTCATTTGCTTTTATCATTTAGTGGAAAGTACGGGACTGAATGGAAGACAAATCATTTACCGTATCGTTATATGGTAACTGCAAAAACTGTACCGATAAAAAATCTCTGAAGATGCTTCTCTTTGATTCTCTGAATAATTTCAAGTCTATGTTTTCATCTTCGCGATGCCTCAATTACCTGAAAACGACTCCGTTCATAACTGTAGATGACGCCTCAAATGCCATTCCCGACGGCAGCGTGGTCAGTGCAAATATATAATGAGCAAGAAATTACCGGAAAACTGAACTGAATTCCAAGCACGGTTACGTAGTTCAACAATACAAAGTTGAAGATTTTCCTTCATCTCTGAATTACCACATTTTCTCGAGATGTGCTTCGTGGGGTCGAATTGAGAGCACTGACTGTAGGTCGTGGGGTACCGCGGAGTGCCCACCCACCATATAGGGAGGGCCTCGGCATGACTCCTGGGCCTCACTGGCTAGTGGGGTCCTCGGCCAACTCAATTGTCGCCTCAATTGTCGCCACATCGCGGACAACGTTCCTCTTGCGGTAGAACTTGAGGCAGAGATAAACCATCTCCATGATCTAAATGCCTCCGAACAGCATGACGGCGTCGTTCAATAACATAAGGCTGCTTAAGGACATATCTGTCAACACAAAAATTTAAAACAAGATTAATGGAATGATATTGAACGTCAATTTATGAACAACAGTCTTCTTAAAAATCTTATTACAACAAGAGTATCTGCATTCGTTCCAGATGGACTCTGGATTTTCCGATATTCGGAGATGTTACTTCTTCAGCGTCATAACAAATATTTATCATTAGTGAATCTTATTCAATCTTGCAGAAATTTTTCACGATAATTTTCACGAAGCACAGTTAAACGAGGCTGGAATCTTTACTAGCTTCCTGTCCCGCCAATATATTGGTAATATTGCAGCAATTGATTTCAACCCAAACTAACTTGTATCAGCATTAATTGTTGACCGCCACAAGCACCCCAGTGACGATGAAGGATGTGGCGTAGAGCGTCGAACACATCAGGGTGTCGACGTACTGCCTATACGCTGCTGGTCGCGGGCAGCGGCGTTATAAGCAAATAGCCGGATAAAGTTATTTATTGCTGCAGTCTGTAACAATAAGAACAGGTTACACCTCAAAGTAATCAAAGCCGATATCATTAAGACCAACGAGGATGCTGTAAATAGCAAAAACGTCTGTTAAATCTTTCGAAAACGAATGATGTCCATTTTTTCGGCAAATAAGGGTTTTCGGCTAATAAGGTGGTACGGCTTTAGGTTTTCAACAACGTATAGAGACTGGACGCCAGGAGTATCTGCTTCGTACCTATTCGCTCTACATGATTAACTGTCGAATCAAACAGCAAAAGACCCCATAACCTCAGTGACGGCGATGAATGAAGTAAATTACACCTGTTAAACTATTATACGCCATTAGATCTGGTATTAGAGATCGCCTACCTTTATCCCCGGATAACCTGCTAGATTAGGCGGAACTAACTATCCAAGCAAGTAAACATTAATTACCGGTCCATGTATACACTACACTTCTGCTGTCCAGTATCAATCCGGCGTCTCATTCCGTTTATTATTTTTACAGTGAAATTAAAGAGACGGAAGAATAACACCGAAAACTTGACATTCACACTGAAGACATTGACTTACCGTAAGAGTATATAGAACAAGGCTAAAATCCACAACTTCCACGAAGGTTACAAGTCGCACCGTGACCGTTGAGCACAGCGCATGCCGAGCTAAGCTTGTACTTGAAGTGTAAATATCAAGAAAATAAGAAACATTTTCCACTGGCATCTCGGTGAATAAAATATCGATTTAGGTCATTGCTTAAATAGAAAAAAATATACAAGATTGTTATTAAATAAAGCGCGTCATACGGTTGTCGTGAAACTGTTCAAAAGGCTTTTCCTGAACTTAACGCTGTTTCTGAACCCAATGCTGTTCCTGAACAAATGCTGTTCATGAACCTAATGCAGTAATGCTGTTCCTGAACCTAATGCTGTTCCTGAACCTAATGCTGTTCCTGAACCTAATGCTATTCCTGAACCTAATGCTGTTCCTGAACTTAATGCAGTAATACTGTTCCTGAACCTAATGCTGTTCCTGAACTTAATGCAGTAATGCTGTTCCTGAACCTAATGCTGTTCCTGAACTTAATGCAGTAATGCTGTTCCTGAACCTAATGCTGTTCGTTTGTGTTGGAGAGGTCATTGGCGACGCGATTTTCAGAACTGTTCGTCAAGTGGCTAACTTTCTAAAATAATTACCATGTTTTGACTTCGTCAGCCAATCACCTTCAGGTCCATTTACCTAGATTTTATATAACAGAAATCTGAACATCTGTTCAATGTCGCTTCTACGATCAGCTTCGAACTTAAAGCATGGCTGCCAACCATCTCTCAGGAAAATTGGTGTGTCAAGATAACCGCAAATGACGAGTCATCGACTTGCTCAAATGCATGTCGATGACTCGTCGAATTGCATTATCAGGTGGGCCAAGAGACCCACCTTTTACTTGCAGGTGGGTCAAGAGACCCAACCTTTTACTTGCAGGTGGGTCAAGAGACCCAACCTTTTACTTGCAGGTGGGTCCAGAGAGTTTTAACTTGCTTTTCTATGAGCAGGTTCTGCAGGAATTGCAAGATACTATTATTGATGGCACCTCAACGTTAAATGGCAAAATCACTGATCGAAATTTCAAAATTTTCGTAAATATCAAGAAATGTACATAAAAAATAATAACATAATTTCCGATTGATTCCACATATCCAAGGTGTTTCCTCCACGAAAAAACGCTCCAACAGCTCGCCCGACCTAAGTTCCAGTAGTGTGACTATGGAGACAAATCTTGTATACAAGCCTTCTTTGAAGTTTTCAAACAATCGTTGTAGTATACCAGTCAGTAAGAGACAAGCTGAAGGTACCTCCTGGTATTGGTGAGTAAAGAGCAACGTAACTTGAGAAGCTTTATGTTCTTGAAATGTGGCCAAGTCTGAAATGATTTGGTCGCAGTGGTTGGATGTTATGTTAGAGTGTAAGCTGTGTTTATAACGACTATTTATCCTTATTGATTCTTGATACGCTGTAAAGGTACCATATGCTGTAGCCAACGTAGTTGAAGCACTTGTACTAAGATTGGCCCAGACGCGCGGTTGTAGTACCAAGATTGGCGCAGAGAGGCGTGGGTTCGATCCCAGCTCTGTGCGTCAATCTCTAGTCTAGTCAGAATCGGCGAGGAGGCCGGGCGGATAAGTACAACTTTATTGTAGCAGTGAGGAGCGAGTTCGAGACCGCAATAAGCTGTAAATATTCTGCGATATTGAGAATCGGCGACAGGCCTACTGCCTACTTGACACTGAAACTGCTATTGTTAATAATTTACTATTATATATCGAATCAACGGCCGAACCCTGGGCTTTTGAACCGTTGGCAGAATCACAAGCGCGGCAACTTGGAAAGTGATTTCGACTTAACTATTTCTGACTCTTTCGTGTAAAATCACCGGATACCCTTCGGATGTCGTTGTTTATGTTCAGGTTTTAATCGACAAATGGCGGACAACGCAGCCTCCGCAGCCCCCGCAGCCCCGCCGACACGGCGTGAGGAACCTTTCAAGGTCTTCTGGGAGACCATGACTGCGGTAATGATCTACTTCTTCCCGCACTTGGTCGCTGTTTGGCTCCTCCACGTTCTGAACAACGAGCCTGGTGGGTTATCTATTGGAGGAATATTTGACAGAATGATTTTTGGGCTGCGAAGCTTTTGATTAGAATGTTTGAGCGGTTGAGCTTACAAGTTTCCTTCACCATGTGTAACTACATTGAAGGCTAACCAATTCTTACTGTTGATCGGGAAATTTAAACTAAGCTAAATTGCTTAAGGCCGCGGTGTATCAGAAACCGCGGACAGATTAGCCATGGTTGTAAACAATTTTTGTCTCCCTTTCAGGCATTCCAGAATCGCTCCGTCGAAGGCTTTATTCGCTCCTTATGGTATCGACGACGATCATCATGATGCAGACCATTGCCATGGTCTACTACGGCCGCGGCCTGGTGCAGACTGCAGGGTTTCGCAGAGATGTTCCTGCAGAGGCCTCGAACAGTCCGCGGAGTAACCGCCGCCGTGACGACTCGGACAGCGAAGATACTGATGATAGTCGCGGTCCCGCATGGGCAGTCAGGATGGCCGCCGCGTCTTTCGGTGGCTGAACTTGAGTCACCTACAGCAGCAGTGGGGCTCGCGGTCGCCGTCAACTGTTTTTAGTTTTGACTCCCTTGTCCGATGGGAAATTTTTTATTGAATGACTATAGTTATTTTCAATAAACTTGACCGTGCTAAAAAAATCGTTCTTAATCGCTTTTTGATTTGTCGAAACGTGATACTAGGGCACCAAAATAGCCTAAATGGCTATTTACACTTCGCCAATGAAGAGATGTATATCGTATAACTAGGTAAGATGGAAAAAATTTCCCAGATTTTTGTCGATAGGAATTTACTATAAGAACGGAGTTCCTGGAAGAGTGACGTAGTTTGATTCATGCGTTGACGTTACATAACGTAATGTCGGCACTGAAGCGTCAGCCTGATGTGGAATGTCGCGATTCTTATACTTTCCGTGATTTGTCCACAGGAGATCTATAAACGGGTCACTTGACCGAATCTTTACCAAACCGACTATAGTTTGAAACAGCTACTAGACATCCACTGGTTTCGATATATTCCTAGGCATTTTGAGTTTTTACATATATTTGGAATTGAACACGGGCCTCCCGCGTGGCGAGCGAGAATTCTACCATTGAAGCATCGATGCTGAAATGATAGTTCGTACCTGAACGTGTTCCCTCGTTGCGAATGGAATACATTTGGCTCGTACTGAAGGCGTATATCTCGGAGGCTGATTTAAAACCTTGAATGATCGTGGCTGTGCCCATTTCTTGACGTGATGAGGACGTATCAGAACCTCGTACGTAGACCGTCTGCCTAGAGTTGAAAAGGGCCGGAACGTTCGACTAAACTTACTGAAGCAATGGTTCTCAAACTTTTTCAGGCTGGCGCCCCTTTTGGCTCCCTAATGAATTTCTAGCGCCCCCACAGACGTACGCCTCTTTCTTGAAATTTAGTACGCTGCAATTTTAAAAGAGAAAGGGTAAACACATGTGTATTTCACAAATAGAACCCCATTTAGTGAAACAATATTTTTCAGCAGTTTTAACTGTTTCAGCAGTAGAAACCTAGGACATCTCTGGCGAATTTACGGCCGAACTCGTGGCCGGTCTCACGATCAATCTCCAAATTCAATTCTCAAGTAATGTCTTCCAAACTAATGAACGCAGCTCTATGAAACTTGGAACATGTATTCATCAAAACATAACGTTGATGTTTAGCTCGTAATTTTTTTTTTTAATTTCACCTTCATTCGTGAGTTACGCGTATATTGCGAAACATTCCAAAATTCGCAGTGATTAAAGAATTTCTTCCAAACTATTGAACAAATTTGAACGAAATTTTGAATATACATTCCTAACTACCAAACGGTGATTTTTTAGCTCAAAAATTTTTTTCGATTTTACCTTCGTTTGCGATTTTTTCTTCATTTTACCGTCATTCTTGATTTCACACTTCCTTATATTCGGCCCGTATCGCCGGGTAATTTGTCACTTAGATTAACATAACATAACATAGTGATCTCGGCGCTGAAGTGTAGGCTGATGTGGCCTGTCGCCGATTCTTTTCCTTTTATTAAATTCGCAGCGATCAAGAAATATCTTCTAAACTACAGAACAAATTTAAACGAAACTTTATATAATTACCTAACTTTCCAACGGTGATGTTTAGCTCGTGACAATTTCTTTATTTTGCTTTCGTTCGCGAGTTATACAGATATAGGAGGAACGACAGACTTTTCTACCGGCCGGTTTAACCAAGAGCCGTAAACGTATAGCCGTATAACTCGCAAACGAAGGAAAAACGAAAAAATTGTAACGAGCTAAACATCACCCTTGCTGAGGTTAGGTATTTAAATACTAAGTTTAGTTCAAATCTGATCAGCAGTTTGGAAAAAATTTCTTGATTACTGCGAATTTAAATATTGATGTTTAAATCACGAATGAAGGTTAAATGAAAAAAAAAGAAAAACCTCGCTAACGAAGGTCCAATCGAAAAATTTTTCACAAGCTAAACATTACCGTTTGGTAGTTAGGACCATGGTTGAATTAATTCAACCATGGTTAGGACTACAAATTCAAAATTTCGTTCGAATCTGTTCAGTAGTTTAGAAGAAATTTTTCTTGATCACTGTGAATTTCGGCCCGTATTGCCTTATAACTATGGCAAAGACAAACGATGGCAAAATTCAAACAATTTTCACGAGCTAAACATTATCGTTAGGTCCTAATGAATACGTGTACTAAATTTCATCGAGTTGAGGCTTCTAAGTTGATTAGTTTGAGAGATATCCCTTGATCATTGAATTTAGAAATTGGCCGTGAGACCAGCCGCGAGTCCGGCCGTTAATTTGTCAGAGACGTAAACCCAGGAGAGGTTAAGAAAACAGATCTGGGTGACAAAACCATTGCTGGGAGTCATGTGCTGCACGTGTTGTTTACAAATCGTCAAACAAACGTTCGAACTTCTGACATCGACTTCGGCTATCGCCCCCCTAGCGCCCTCTTCTTTCTTACCGCCCTCCAAAATATTTCCACCGCCCCTAGGGGGCAATATCGCCCACTTTGGGAACCACTGAACTAAAGCATTTCCATTACAGTTCTAAAACTTTATAAAACTTTATATGCAAGGGCAGACTAGCGACTTCTCGTGCAATTGATAGCGGGCGTTTTCGAGGCCACGTCACAAATTGAATTGCATGCTCAAAGAATAATAACGTCCCTGTTGAATATAAACGAAGCTCGCTCCCGCGCAGAATGTGACCTGATAGGTTGCAGAGAAGAAATTTTTCCGTAGTGTTTGATGCTGTCAAGAAGCTTAGGCGGTGCCTGCCCGGGAATAAAAATGAGCTGGGCACTGGCAAAATAATGGTAACGGAGTGATTGATTGTCCTGCCGAATTGGAGAAACTGAAAATTATCCAAATGAATATGTTTGGCAATTTAGAAGAGAATGGAAAGTATGCCTAAAGCCGCATCTCAACGCGGGCTTAAAGAATCTTGAACTGAAAGCCTGGACTTGAATCCCCAAGTTTGGTCAGTTTCTGAAGAGCTGCTAGTTTGAATACCTAGGTAATTGTCACCACAACGTGGGGTTGAGTAGGTTTCACTGCAACAAGCCATTCAAATTTAGCCTTTCCCGCTGGAAACTTATTTGAAGTGGGAAACGATCACGTATAGTTTTCATTCTAAAATCAAACCTAACTTCGACAGCGGCGATTGCAGCATGGGCTTTACGTTGGTAACGAATCTCAATCCTTTGGTTAGAAGTGTATTCTCTGGTCAAGATCACATAGCAGGCAATTAGATGAAAATAAAACCAGAGTGGACTAAAGCAATTTATTAACAAACCTAAGACTTCATATAAAAATTACCTCCTAGAAACGACAGACGAGGTAAGATACAAAAAATTAAGATGTCTTCCACCACATCAACTTTCTAAAGCTGGAGCCAACAAAATAATGAAACCTCGTTTGAAAAAAAATTGATCAGTGATAGATCCAGAGTAACATTTGGCGTCACACAAATGCGACAGGCTGAAAAATCTTACGAGATCCTGCCATGAAACGACGTGCTTCTTTCAGGCTACGGATGATGTTGATGATGATGACGATGGACGATAATGGTGGTCGTCATAATGGACAAATGATGGAGGGCAGCAATTCTTGCTCTCATGGTGAACTATGATGCTGGCTGTCATGATGCAGGACTATGATGCTTGCTGTCGCAATGCAGTAATATGATGCTGGCTGTAATGATTCAGGAATATGGGGCTGGCTGTCAGATGATGTAGGGGGTGAGTGTGAAGGACGATGATACCAGCCATCATGATAGACTATCACTATCAGGCTATAAGATGATGTAGGTGGTGAGTGTGAAGGACGATGCTGCCAGCCATCATGATGGACGATCAAGATGCAGGTTCAGTGGACGTTGCGGCGGTACCAGAAGCGCGCCCTGTAGTCATCAGAGCACGTGATGAAGGCGGGGGAGCAAGGCGAGTGTACCATGAAGCGTACGGGGCCGTTGTGACCTGCAGGTAGAGAGGTATTAATTAGTATCCTACTGAATGTATAGGGTCCGAACATAACTCGCAGGATCGGTAGGGAGGAGGTGCTACTGAATGAATATAACACGTAGGGTCTGTAGGGAGGAGGTGCTACTGAATGTATAGGGTCCGAACATAACTCGTAGGATCGGTAGGGAGGTGTTACTGAATGTATAGGGTCTGAATATACTAACACGTAGGATCTGTAGGGAGGAGGTGTTACTGAATGTATGAATTTATAGGGTCTTAATGTAACACAATGTAACCCGTAGGATCTGTAGGGAGGTGTTACTGAATGCATAGGGTCTGAATGTCATACGATATAGCACGTAGGATCTGTAGGGTGGAGGTCTTGCTGAATGTTTCTGACTAAGGTCAGGTCTACAGGAAGAGACGGGAGAGGCAGGAGGGGAAGAAGTGCTTCTGAACGTAACAAATTATCCGTATCCTGACGGTTGACTAGTAGTTTCAATAACATTGAAAATATTAGTATGTTTGCAGTCAAGTCGGTTTGAAGTTTTATCGGAAGCTTAACTTCAAGCAAGATTCCAAATTGAATTTATAGCCCAAGAGAAATTATTGTTCGAATTAAATTTAAAGATCAACTGGTTGACTTGAAGTTGAGTAAGAAGCTTTAAGCCAAATATCCTACTTCATGGATATTCAACGGTAAAATATTGAGAAGGAAATGCCTAACTTGCAACATGAAGATGTAAAGAAGATAAATACACAAGATATAGAGAAGAAAATGCCTAACTTGCTACATGAAGATATAGAGAAGATATATACACAAGATATAGAGAAGAAAATGCCTAACTTGCTATAATTTAAAATTTATTCAAAGTGAAAGCTGGGACAAAACTCAGGTCTTGACTCAGAGCTTGGCTCAAACTTGAGCTTTAACTCGCGTGAAACTTTTTGATTACTCATCTGTCTAACTTTTGAACGACGAGCTAAGCGCGAGGAAGGTGCAAATTGGGCCAAAAATTAAAACTTTAACTGAAGTGCAAGTTTTTCCTTCAACTAGTTTGATTAAAGTTATGAAAGTTAAATTCAAATTTATCTTCATTTTATAAACATTTTGAAAGTTACATTCAAATTTATCTTCGTTTTTTGAACATTTCGGAAGTTACATTCAAATTTATCTTCGTTTTTAGCGCATTTTTTCATTTATGTAAAAAATGCACTATTGTGCTCGCCATGTCCGTCTGTCTGTCTGTCCGTCCGTCCGTGACCTCAAGTTTACGTCGACGAGAAAATGCGCTCTCTGTCACACACTGCAGTGAGTACTGGGTTATATTTTTTGAACATTTTGATCCAAAGTTTGAGAGTAACGTGCCTAGCGAGAGAAGGTTCTTGCGCTGGCCGTTCCTGCTCTCCCAGGAGCAGAGCGACGTCGTCGCCTCGTCAGGGAACATCACGAAGTCTTCGGTGTGGTTGAAGATGGCAGACGTGCTGTGGTTCTGTGACGCCAGGGTGCCCGCACCTGTGGTTAATGGTAGTGGTTAATGGTGCAGTGGTTGAAGATGGCAGACGTGCTGTGGTTTGTGCCAGCACCTGTGGTTAATGGTAGTGGTTAATGGTAGTGGTTAATGGTGCAGTGGTTGAAGATGGCAGCCGTGCTGTGGTTCTGTGACGCCAGAGTACACGCGCCTGTGTATAATGGTACATTGGGTAATGGTGAAGTTGTCAATGGTAGCAGTAAGGTGCTATCCCGCACCTGTGGTTAGAACGTCAATTGTTCATGTCAAGTACAGTCATCTGCAAAGGTACTAATTTTAAACAAACAAGCATTTGATTTGATATTCCATGTAGGAGGATAAATCACAAAGGAAATTACTACTGAAATCCCTGTGTTTTCGATTTCGAGGTACAAATTAGATTTATGCGGGAAAACTTCGTACATCGGATGACGATTGCACTGTTCCCAACACAGAACTACAACCAACACCACCACTCACACATCCAGTTCTTTGAATAGTGGTTATACCGGTATATTCAAGATTGATCCGGCCTGTTGGCTTAATCAGTTCCAAAGTATCATCCATGTAGTACCTATATAAAAGAAAATAATATTCTAAATTTTTTTAACTAATATGATAGTTTAATCAGTTCCAAAATATCAGCCAAATATAAAAGAAAACAAAATTCAAATTTTTTTAACTAATATGATATGTGCACTTATTCATAGGTACCTATATTACTCCCAGGTTCTAGTTGGTTGTATTTATTTCCCGTACACGGCCTATGCTCTCCAGGTATAGGGTCGCAAATGTGGGTTATTTTGACCCGAAGACAGCAGGAGGGTCTAATTTAAACTAAATTTAGAATAATTAATTAAATTCCAGACAACACCTCACTGACCAGTGTAAGCAATGAGGCAGCGTCCCGTTGAGAGCTCCCATAGCCGCACTACGGAGTCCATAGCTCCAGAAAGCAGGTACTGCAATAAATAATAATAATAATAATTTTATACATTATTATACATTATACAGAGCCCTTCATTTACACAGGTTTGGTTAAAAAGAACGCCATTTCAAGACTTGTTGACCATGTTATTGTACCTAGAAAGCTAGAGAAATCTAACTCTAAAGAAGCTCTGAATAAAACTGGCATTCTTTTTAGCCAAAACTGTCTAATGCCGTATGTTAAACTGAATAATGATTTATGACAATGGCATAGACATTTGTCGTACTTACATTATGCACGACAGTATTGTACAGATATCGAAAGAAATTTATCAGGAAAGCTTGTATGCATTCTACAATCCTGTGTTAACATAAAGACTGATAGCCGCTCATAAATTAGTGATTAGTCAATTACTCTCATTGTAAATCATCTTGATATACGTGTACGTAGTGCTTCAATTAAAAATTCACATAACAATTAAATTCAATTAAAATTCAATGCAATTGAAATTTCACTTCATTTGTGATACAAACCTAGACGTTCATGAAATTTACCTACATTCTTCTGTAAAGAAAGTATATAGTTTTACTATTTCTTTAATATTGTGATCAGTTTATAAAATTTGTATAAGCAATCTTAAAGGGCATTTGATTTCAATTAAAATATTAATAACAAATTTCGTTTCTACGCATAAATTGTAACATCATATCATACATTTATTACAATAAATAAATTCAACACAGAGTAACAATTGTCGCCGTAATTGACGATTGAAGCAAAAGGAATGCGTGCCTTCAAAATAATTTACAGTTAACTCCACAATAATAGGAGCTTTTAGCCCTGTCACACCAGCTCAATTTTTAATGGACTTCACAATCCCGTTTGCAATTAGCCCAGACTAATTTGTAATGGATTTTTAAATAATGGTGGAATTTGCATGATTTCTGATGGACTTCAAAATAATGGGAGCAACTAGCACAGCATAATTTCTAATGATATCACAATAATAAGCGGATACGTCTCAGATTTCCCCCAGTATAATTTCTAATGGTGTGACAATAATGGGTAGGTAACATAGATACGTCTCAGATTTTCCGCAGCATAATTTATAATTAATTAAATTCCACCCAATAATTGATTAAGTTAGCCACCTTGCCGTTACGGGAGAAGGTGACAGAGGTGACGACAGCGCCATCGTGACATCGAGAGAAGGTCTGCACGCAGCGACCTGACACACCGTCCCACACCTCAGTAATGGGGTAGTGGGTTATATAATAGTAACAACATAGGTTATAATAATATTACTATATATTAATTATATTGCCATAGGAAATATAATTGTAAATAATGGGTGATAAAATAGTAAACATATTAAGTAAAGAATTAATGGCTAACACGATACGATCAAATATTGGGCATTTGTTCAAGTTGAGATTGGTCTACAGTGCTTTGTTTACCTTAGAACCCAGTGCCGAATGATATGGAAGGAGTGGTATGGTAATAACAACACTGAACACCAACCCCCGGGCACATCTGCAAACACCACACTCTTGCCAGCTGCAGACGGTTCATATCACCACCTACACACCACACTCTTGCCAGCTGCCGACGGTTCATATCACCACTACACACCACACTTTTGCCAGCTGCAGACGGTTCATATCACCACCTACACACCACACTTTTGCCAGCTGCAGACGGTTCATTTCACCACCTAAACACCACACTCTTGCCAGCTGCAGACGGCTCATTTCACCACCTTAATATCCCCTCCAGCACAGCTGGAGACAAAGAGCCTGGCGTCGCTGGAGTACTTGACGCAGGTGACGGGGTGCGTGTGGTGCTCGTGGAGACGAGGGCTGACGAAGCAGCAACACGTCGCCAGGTCAATGACGCGCACCGCTGCGTTGGAGCTGCCGGCAACAATGTAGTCCCCCGTTGGGTGGATACTCAGACTTGTGATGGGCTCAGCGTCCTGCCGAATATTGCAATCAAATAATCATAGTGCTGGTGCATAGTTCTATCAATAGAAGATTATGAATATTGATGGCCATTCACCCCTCGACCCATATATAGGTATATAATGGCGGGTTTGAGAACTTGTGATAGGCTCAGCGTCCTACAGAGTATTGCAACCAATGAACTAGAATAAACTCCACAATCACAGCATAGCACTGCAAGCATAGTGCTGGTGCATAGCATTTTCAATAAAGAAGTTTGGTTACTAAACTTCTTTAGTAATAATGGTCATTTAATATACTCAACCCAAATATATACTAGCATTGTCAAGTACAGACTGAGTAGGTATTTGGCGAGGATACGGATTATCTACGTCTTATGAGTAAATACAGACTGTGTAAGTCTTGAAGGCTTTCTTGGCTGAGGTCTTGGAGAAGTCGAAGAGCTTGATGTTGGTATCCTTGCTGCCAGAGATCAGAATCTAGGGAGAACAAAGCAATCGTTGATCAATAATGTAGCCAAAAACTTCAATCAAACTGTATATACCTACAACTTCCAAAAGTATGTGAAACAACTTTTGTGAATGAGTACGATCAAGGAACCATCAATTTCCCACATTTTAACCTCAAACTCACTGCTGGAGTATGAGTATATATACTCCACTGACAGGCAATAGCATTTTACAGGAATATTTCAGCAAATAATTTTAAAAATAAGCAAAAATGACAGTCTTTAAAAATCAGTATCAATATATTTTACAACGAAGGAATACAATACAATACAATTTTCAAAGGAAATTCTTTTAAAAAAATCTTTAAAAAAATTAAAAATTCTAGCAGTACCTATTTAAAAATCTAGGTACCCTACAATGCCAATAAAATTTTCAACAAATTACCTGTTCTTTAGGATGAAATTCAAGACAGGTGATCTCATCCAGGTGATCATAGAGGGTCCTGATGACAGGATGCCCCATGACAGCATCAGGATGCATGTCCACTGCATCAGGGTCACTTTTGGCCAGCATCCTGTCCACGTCAAGGATTTTGATGGATGCGTCCACCGACCCAGTGGCCACGAGGTTGCCATCGGGGCTGAATGCACCGGAGTGGCACTTGTCCTGTGGGCGGTTAAATTGCTTTACAAAATATCTGGCATATACCAAAATCTCAATATCTAGTGAATAACTAATAATTCAGAATGCTCAGTACTCAACATTTGTACAGCAGCAATAAAGTGAAATGTGAAGTAGGTACATTAGGTACCGTATGCAGTATGTCAATGATGAAAATTTTTTTTTTTAATTTTCACATAGGAAATGAATGCCAGTTTGACAGGATTCAATTGGAAGCCAAACAACAATAATATTTAGGCAAAATTTTAAAGAAATAAGAAAACAAAATTTAATGAAAACAATTTTTTTCACATGTAGATATCACATTTCAAGCTCAATGACTAACAATCTAACAAAATGGTCTGAACTTCTGATTCATCAACTTGGGTGTTTAGGACCAAAAGACAAATCAAAACTTATACTGACAAAACATTTAAAATGAAAAACAATTGAAAAAACTAAATAACTTCAGTAATAAACATCAAATACAGTAGGTAGGTACATACCATGTGTGTCAATGATGAGCAATTTGTGTATACCTACATAAATGATATGTACATACCAATAATGCCACCAGAAGCACCCTAAAATATGCATGAAAGAAAAACAAGCAAATGGTGTTTCAATGTCACCTTATGTGAGGTGACATAGGCAGTCTCGTACATGGCAGGCTCGGGTGCAGACGACTGAGGTTCTGTCTCATACTCCAGGTCAAGACCAGGTCCCAGGGTGTGCTCAACCACATTCAATGTTCGATCCATTTCTGGCAATCAAAAAGAGTGTTAAACATAAAAAAATTTAGAATGGTAAAAATATTTAAAAATTTCATCAAGGCATAGTGATGCAAAAGCTGTTGTACATGTTGTGTGTTTTTGTTCTTATCATAATGTTAGCCTAGCAATCATCAAGTATAATAGTAGTAAAAATATTTGAAAATTTCATCAAGGCAAAGTACCGTACTATAGGTACTAATTAAAAAAGCTATGTGTTGTATGTTTTGGTAGGTTTCCCACTTCAACCCTTTACTGCCACCATCCTAATATACAGTTCAGATAAATTGTAATCAGTTTTACAAGTTGAAGCACAACTAATGAAATTATACAGCATTTTGGAAATAAATTTCAATTGTGTGAGGTAAGTGAGCTGAGTGAATGCAGAAAAAGAAAAGATGAGTAAGATCAAGATCACAAGCAAATACCATGCTCATGGGTGAGAGCCAGCTGAGTAAGATGGAAGAGGCGCTCTGAGGGCGCCGGTGGGGGGCCCTCCATCTCCAAGGTCTTCATGAGACTATCGGCCAGTTCCTTGAAGTCATCATACACCAGCTGACTGCAAACCATAATAATAGGTAGAACTAGAGTAATTCAAATCAACACAAACAATACATTTGAGGTCATTAGTGCACCATTCAAAATATTTCCAATTGAGAGCATACTACCATATTGCATGGCTCTGCATCTGCGGTCTTCAGTTGTAGGAAAAATTCACACAATATAAAATTTAAGTCAATGTTCATAGTAAAGTATTTCAAAGATATACCGGTACTGTATCAATGAGTTTATTGTAATCAAGATTATATCACAGTTGATACATCAGTGTGCAAATGCAGTGATTAATGAAAATGTACATACAATCTCACCTGAGAATGAGCTTATAGAGGAAGTCACGATGCTTGACTTTGTTTTTTACTACCTCTTTCTTCTGTTTATCTTCTTCTTTCATTTTACCAAAATACTACGGTATAAAGTTTGAAAAATAGCACACTGCTCAAAATTAATTATAAAATAAATAGGTACCCTTTTGGCCGCAGAACATACCAAGCCAAACAAATATTTATGGGAAGAATATGGTATAGCTATGAGATATGCTGGTTTTAAATTCAATTCATCTAGCCAAGTCAGTAATCACAAAAAAATTAATTTCCATGCTATTGTGTTATTATTTCCATAGAATGTCTCTTAGCTTGTGATATTGGAATGAAGTCAGCAAACATGAAGTGAATTAATGAATATTATGAATATGATTTTACCAAATTATAAATGAAAAAAACCTGTCTCTTGTGATATTGCGAAACTACCATATATACTGTGAGCAATGATCTAGCCAAGAAGCAGGGTGAGCATGTAACAGGAATACCATGTGCCCACAGCTCACACCAGGACTGGAATTTTTCTATTTATTATGGAAATCTTGCAGCCGAAAAGGCTAGTGTGACGTGTGTGTAAAATGTCCACCTTTCAAGCCCCAGCTCTAGTAGTGGCCTCAAGAATGTTAGATATATACAGGTATATTCCTCACTAGTCAAAAAGTAGATATTTTCTATGCCGGCACAAACAGGCATGGAATAAATCTCATTTTTGAGGCATGCCCAGAGCTTTCTTATCATGTCTGGAGCTGGGATAATCTGGTAGAATAAATTTTCTTCATTAATAGTCTCCTTTTATCAGACCTGGAATATAGGTACATAGATATTTTTTGGGCCACAACTATAAGTTCCACACTATTTTTGGAGCTGCAAGATTCCTGCTAGATGAGTTAGGTACCTACCTCTTATCATCTTGTTACTAAAATTATAGAACTGAGCTAGCTAGGATTAGAGTTTTCCTACTTTTGAATGAAATCTTGCAGCTAAAAAATAACAAATTTGCTGTACATTTTGAATCTTGCAAACAAATCCTGAATTTTTGTTTAGATTTAGATTAGACGTAATTCATCTGGCAAGCGCCACACAGCTCCAGAAATGGCAGGAAAGGAAAGCTATAGTTGCAGTCAAGAATTCTTGCTAGGTAATATATTCTCACATTCATATAACAAAATGGATTGGAAAGACTACCACGTTACAACTCCCACAGCTAAGAAAAGTAGTACACTAAGCTCATGAGAAGCTACTGCTTTTCTGCTGTTGCGCAAATCTGCCTTGCAAGTCATCCATGCAAGAACATTTCTTCTTGCTTCGAATCACCTACACGTGGAACAGCCTTCCCAATTACATCGTTGATGCTCCAAGCATAAAAGCATTCAAGAACATATTAGATAACGCTATGGAGAAATATATGTTCAGACTTGAAATGTCTAGCGCCATATTGAACCAAGGAAAAGTCTAGTAGCTATTTTAAACTACCATCAGTTTGGAAAAGATCCAGACAAAGGACCTGTTTTTAAATCTGCTGTCACAAAAAGTTAAATAATTGGCAATAGGCCATATCAATGTCAGGCATATGTTTCAGCAGAACAAGCACCCTGCTGCTACTAGCGGGACAGGCGTGCTGCCACTGCGAGAGGGATAAGTGTGCTGCCACTGCTAACAGGACAAGCATGCTGCTAGCCTCCTTGTTAAGCTTGGAATTAGAACACTATTGAACATTGAACACTACTTAATTAGGCTTCTAATTAAGAGCTATTAAGCTTTTAATTAAGAAAATTTTGATTTTTGCACACAGCTTGGAACAAGCTGTGTGTGTCTAATTCCAAGCTGTGTCGGAATTAGTTTTTATGTATCTAAAACCGTCTCTTAACTCAATCATCTATAAATTTTTTTACCACTTGAAATCAGCAAATACAAGTATACTTAAAGGATTCCTACTATATTCACAGACATATTTAAAAGTCTCAGATCATAATATTCTTTCTACACAAACAGTTTATCACTATTTGGTAGAGCAAGGTCAACTATCAACTTTGACACATTTTTCGATGTTCTCACTGGGTGATGCACACTGTCTCTCTTTGGATCTCAACATTTTCCTGCCAGATGGCCCACTCAGCCACACTCAGGATGATGTATGTTTTTGGTGAATTTTCCCGCACATTTTCACTTTTTTTAAGCTATTGCTGTGCACAGTTGGCGCAACGTAATTAAAATTGATTCTCTTCACGCACGTGCGCACGTGTTCGCGCAATCCCGGCCATCAATTCTACGTCGCGCTGCCGCGCATGAGCAGTTTGTGGAGGAACAGACGTAATACTCACATTACTCAGTACAGTATGCCTTTAATTATCTTTCAATAATATATGATTTTTCTTGATACGGAAATTTGGTGAATGAGAAATCTAGAACTTTATTTTAGAAGAAATTTTCTCCAAAGTCATATGGCAACACTGAACACCGTCTGTTTACATTTCGTATGTATAATAGCCACAGTTTACGATTACCGTACGTTCCGTATCCGACAAGGCGGACAAGCGGAAGAGTCAGAAGTAACCCGGACATGTCTTACATTTTATTATTGTCAGTTCGACATGCGTAGTCAATTGTCAATATACTCGCGTATATTGTTGACTAAAATAGTAGAACTATTTTAGCTTTCTAAAGTACGGCGCACGGCACATTTTTTTACCAGCATAGTACGGCGCACCTCGCAGGGCGTTAAAATGACAAAATAAATTCCCGCGCACCTGGCAGTCCAGGGGAGGAATACATCTACTTTTAACGGAAATTTCGCGGCCCGAGATCTCCCATTTTTATGTAAGTTTGAAATCTCGCGGCTCAGGAGTCAGGTAAAATATATTGATTTAGAAATGCCGCGGCTCCAAAATGGGTCACGTGACGTGTGATGGAAAGGCAAGCCAGCGGTTGGCAGTTGTCGGCAGCAAAATGATAAAGAATAGTGCACCGGCCGATGTATCACTGTATCATTTGAGCTCATGTTGTTGCCACGTGTGGTTGTGCAGTGATAACTCCTAATCCCGTTTCCACAACAACTAGGCTTAGCACCGGTCTGCAATGCATGGTGGCTTGATACCTGTAAGTATTCTTATCATCATATGCATATGGCCTTATCAATAGTTCGTTTCGAACAGAACGTAGACTAGTAGTAGAATTATATTGTGAATGGTCTTTAACATGATTCAATTATAAAGTTTGGAAAACTATCCCGATTACGCCTTACCTTACCAGCCGTATTCTCTGTCCACGAAACTTGGAAGAAATCATAGGTATATGACCGGTGTCTGGTGCTTCTTAGCTCTAATATAGTATTGTTTCAATTTTAAGCCTCTAATCTATGTACTTCTAAATTATTTGATGGAGCGCCCGCCAACTACGTAATAAGCAAATATGTTGGTTACTAAGCTAAAGGTGCCTGTACACAGGGATAGTACTAGCCGCTAGTTCATCCGGCGCTTGAACTGTCCATGCTACTAGCCTCGTGTATAAGGGTTCAGCCGCTTCAGAGGCATGCGCCGGCAAGTGCCCGAGGCGCGGCCGAGAGAGACAACGATGTGTTGATATCTTAGCTGGAGAAGTGGCTAGTAGCGCTGATGCAGCCATAGTGAGAGCATCTGTGCCGCTCCTGTGAAGTATCTTGGGTCAAGTAAATCATGGCTTGTTTGAACGATAATGTTTCTAAGAGGAATCCAACAAAGTGGATTCCAGAATATATTCAATTATTCTTTGAAATATTCCAAAAATGTGAATTAAAGTATAATGTTTTCCATGATGGTTACTCCAACAAAATGAAGAGAGAAACGAGTATCTTGAAACGGAAAGAAGACCTTATTAGTCAGGGTTTAGTTGTTCCCGACGCTGTATTTTTAAGGGCTAGAATATGGAGTATAAAAAAGACGTACAGACTAGAGTTGTTGAAGGTGATCACACTATCCATCTTCACACACCTCACTCGACGGCTTCTAACGACTCACTGGCGGGCGCGAATGAGAAGATAGCGGCACCTATGCTCTCCTCAGGTGTACAGGCTTACTAGCCGGATAGTCACCAAGCGACCGACACTAGCCAGATTTACTAGCCGTCTGCACTATCCCTGTGTACAAGCACCTTAAGCTTCTCGAGTCTAGGGAATATCAGTAACACCGCCAAGTTACCTACTCAGTTGATTTTGTCACTATAGTAAAGGCATTAGGCACTACACTCTACAGTTATTCTATTATAGGGAAAAACTAATTTACTACCAACTATTGGTACGTTTGGTGTGTTGTTTAATATAGCAAGAAATTTATATACGTCTAGAATATCAATTGGAAAGTTGCCACTTTCGTTCCCACGTCTCGGACGAATTTACAGTCGGACCCGCGGCCGGTCTCCAGATTCAGTGTACATCAAATATCTCCCAAAGTATTGAACGTAGCTCGATGAAACTTGGTACACGTATTCATTATGGCCTGATGGTGATGTCAAGCTCGTGCGTTCCCTTGGATATGAAACGTCCGGAAAATACTTATTTACATAGGTATTGGGTGTGACTGTGTCAGTAACAATGATAAGGGTTTTAATTGGCTAGAATTCATACTACTAAAGCACATAAAGAAGACATGCCATTGTACATTTAAGTTTTTTAAGTTGTGGCTTGAAATGTGACTGTTGAGTACATATAGGGCCTGAGAGATAATCGTGTGCGTATTAAGGAAAATACTTTAAAAATTTTTTTTAAAAACCACATTTTTCTTGTGGACTAAAAAGTAGGAAATAAATTAAAATTATGGCTTGCCCCAAAAACGTGTGTCGGGCAGATTTATGATTAAAGCAAAAAGGACACAACACACAAATTTTGGAAATTTGATGGTGAACGTACAGCCCGACCCACGTCATATTGGCAGATTCATGATAAAAAAAAGCGAAAAGCACACAACACACAAATTTTGGAAATTTGATGGTGAACGTACAGCCCGACCCACGTCATATTGGCAGATTCATGAAAAAAAAAACGAAAAGCACACAACACACGAATTTTGGAAATTTGATGGTGAACGTACAGCCTGACCCATGTTTTTTTGGGGCAAGCCATAATTTATTTTCTACTCCTTAGTCCACAAGAAAAATGTGTTTTTCAAGTTTTTTTAAGTATTTTATTTTCTTCTTTTTAGTCCATTGCTACGCAACGGACTAAAAACGGATATGCACTTGACGGATATGCACGGACGTACGTATCGATGATACGAGGCGTCAGCGCCTGCTCGTCTATAACGTCAGCCGAACTTTACTCAATTAAGCTAATTTAGGTCTCTAGTTTTTGTTGCTAGTTTTTATGATTGTATCTGAAATTGTTAGGCAAAAATAGCCTGCATGCCGAATTTCAGATCTCTAGAGCAATCAGAAGTGGGCTAATTTTTGTTGTCAATGTTAAGAACAAACAAACGCAAAGCTGAGTTAATAAAAACGTTTTAAAATACTTGCAGTGTTGGGTATATTTTGTATATTTTTTCGAAAATATGAAGAGCTTATAAGTGTCGTTCTAATTTTAATTTTGGAGTTAAATGAGAATCCTATACTAAGTGAGCCTTAGTGAGGTTTACTGTGGAATGGAACGGGACTTTTTTTAAATGTTTATAAGCTACTTTAAATTTTTATTATTAATGTCCGTGTGTAGTTTGTGGAAGCAAATCATCATGTGTTTACAAAGTTAGCTACGAGTACACGGTGTCACTGAGAGCTTGCCTCAGATGCTGAGTCATGTGTCACGAGGACAAGAATTTGGTGAACGGAGGTACAATGTCTATAACTGGGTTGGGAACCTCAGTAAGCCCCCTGTAGTAATTAACTTTAGTAAGTAACCTCCGATTTGAACCTTAGTAAGCCCCCCGCAATGTAGCTCTCCGTTGAGTTTTCTGACCTAACGGTCAACGCCGTAGCTTAGACCTCTGTATCGTAACTCTTACCGGTATGTATTACCACCCCGTATCAAGATACTTTTCTCTAGACAGATTATGTCTTACTTATCCCTCACGCCTTAGTCATGTGTCCCGATCCTAAGGGGCGCTTAATTTAAGAGCGCTGACATTAACTGGTTTTGGGAAAATCCGATTCTCGGAATGCTAGGATTTTCTTTCCTGATAAATTCATGTTAGCTTTCTAGTATCTTGTGGAATGCATTGCCTCATACCAGCCTTTTATTTCAGGTTTCCGAGTGAATGTGCGTGTCTGGGGAGACAAGCGGCAGTATTACTTGCTACTTGGCCAATGACTTTGAGGCCTGCTCTTAAACGGTAAGTCCACACTTGTCTTCTTGCAATCAGGTGACCAAATGAACTAATTTTAAATGATTGAAATAATTTTATTGATCTTTTGACTATAGTTCCAAGAAAGTTCAGATATTTGATCAGTGATCACTCTCCATGNGGTTGACTTGGGGTTCAAGGAGCATGTCGGAGCAGGAAGACCTCCCAAGAGACGACTAGCTTGGCTTAGATGCTTCTGCTCCTGTTCCTCTTGCCTCTCAGCCGCCACCAGAGCGCGGTACTCCGGCCATGATTGCTTAGGTAACAAGAGTTCGTTTGTAAACCGCCAGTCTGCGTTTAGGTCTTGCAGGGGCAGGTCATCGTCGAACGATGTGTCCGCGCAGGTTCGAATCACAGAGAGAACTTCCCGACTGGCCAAAGTTTCCAGCTCATCTTTAGTTTGGTCCCACAAATTAGCCAGGTTGTTGCCTTTGTTCTGTAATTTCTTGCTGACCTGTGAAAGATCTAACAAATATAATAACATTTCATGGTTATACTGCTGTCTCTTATACACATCTAGATGTGTATAAGAGACAGGTGTTAGAGGGGTGGCGGGGGTGTTACAGAGGTGACTGAGCGTTAGTGGTGTTGAGGGTGTGATCAAGGCACTGGTTACGGGAGTTTAGTAAAGGAGTGTTGACGAGTAATTTAATAGGGCAGTGATGACAAAGGATTTAACAGTGTAGTGATGACAGAAGATGTAATAGTCTAGTGATGAAAGGGATGTCTTTGATACTCACTCCTCCCTTTTGTGATCTTTATTGTAGTGAATGCCGTGGTAGTGAAGATATAGAGCGTCGGGCCACTGAGCAGTCTTCGCACTGCTGGGGCTGGTGTTTGCTTTGAATGGATATTGATCAGTAAGTGAAGAAAGCTTCGTGAGTTTAACAGCAACGTTTTCCTCTTCATCGCTCTTCGAACGATGCCGAGCAAGTTTATCGTAGTAAATCTTTCTTAACAACGGGTCTCTTCTGAATATTTTTGTGAGTTGATGAGCATCAAGAGCTACGGTTGACTTGGGGTTCAAGGAGCATGTCGGAGCAGGAAGACCTCCCAAGAGACGACTAGCTTGGCTTAGATGCTTCTGCTCCTGTTCCTCTTGCCTCTCAGCCGCCACCAGAGCGCGGTACTCCGGCCATGATTGCTTAGGTAACAAGAGTTCGTTTGTAAACCGCCAGTCTGCGTTTAGGTCTTGCAGGGGCAGGTCATCGTCGAACGATGTGTCCGCGCAGGTTCGAATCACAGAGAGAACTTCCCGACTGGCCAAAGTTTCCAGCTCATCTTTAGTTTGGTCCCACAAATTAGCCAGGTTGTTGCCTTTGTTCTGTAATTTCTTGCTGACCTGTGAAAGATCTAACAAATATAATAACATTTCATGGTTATACTGTAACTTTTCATCAATACGCTTAACCTAAAAATTTTAAGCAGACTAATACTTGAAACATAAACCAAATAAAACTTCAAAAGATATTACATACTACTGTTTATTTTACAGTAAAATAATACATTTTCTTCACAAATGCTGATGAACACAGAAGAAATGACGCATAATTCCACGCTCAAGTTCATAATAATTTAATCTCAAGTTCATGATTCGCCTTCAGCATTAAAGTGAGTTATTGCTGCTCTTCAGTTACCTGAGCCGGCAAGTGAAGCTGCAAGTGCGCCAGGACGTGCATTTGCTGACTCGAGAAGAACGGCGTCGCTTTCAAAAGATCACGAATACTTTCATCTCCCTGGAATGTACACATTTATAATCCTCATTCTTCAGAAGGAAAAACTAAATGATACAATTTGGTGACGGCAAAGATTGAAAATAGATATCCAAAAAATAGAAAGCACAACTATACAACAATCAAACGGAATTGAAATTAGAGTGAGTACTTTTGTCAATTATCAAATAATTTTACACGACCATCATATCAGCTGATTTTATAAAGTTTACACTGCAACCGTTGAGTTCAAAGATAAATGATCAACCGACAGCTCAATTTATTTACACAATAATTTAAAAGCAATGAAAAATCCAAGGAAATTTACCCTTACTTTAAAACTTTGGATATATAATGCATATTTTTTTAATTTTCTGCTCTTGAACTTTTGCTTAATTTGCACCTAAAGCAAACATTATATAAATTAGCTAATGTAGGAAGTTTCTCTAGAACTTTTGCTCAATTTGCCTTCAAAGGAAACGCATGATAGAAATAAGCTAATGTAGGGAGTATAAACGTAGACTAAGAATTTTATGCAAGAGTCAATTATTTAATCTAGATTGCAGGTCAAGTCACACCTCGGAGTGTTGGGGAGCCGCGTCATCTAGGCACGCAAGCCTCCACACGTCCTCGCCCAGGCTGCCGGGGGGCCGCATGCACACAGCGCTCACCTGTCAATAACCAACTGCGCGTTAAAATTATAAAAAAATAATAGAGTGTGGAAAATAAGTTAAAGAATTTTCAGCCCAGACCTACACGTTGAGAACAGGAAACCGAGAAATAAAGTCAGATGCGCTCGTTGTAAAATGAGAGGAGGAAGTGTGGCTAATCTTTCATGACTTTCATATAAAGAGATTTCAAAGTTAAATAATTTGTTCAAACAAGGACATGGAACAATTCTGACCTTTTAACTCCTGTATTTGCTCTCAGAGGAACCACTGGCATTCATTGATACATGGTAATGAAGAAACCAAGAGCTCACTCACCGAGTTCTCATGCTGCCCTGAACTGAGGGTGAGGAAGTGTAGCAGGTGTTCCTGAATCTTGCTCTCGAAGGCCATCTCAGGAACCGCGTCGAAGACCCCGTCGGCAAGCTGCTTCTTCCAGCGCTCTGTTGTCAGGGCCTCTAAATCTCCTTTTAACTTTGGTGCCGCGTGCGAGTATCTGAGACGAAGCAAGCTGCCAACCTGCAGTCACAACATGAAGTCTCATTTAATTCGTTCTTATTTTAAATACCTAGATGAATATTTAACCCCTGTTAGACTGCATAATTTTGAAAAAATTACAATGTTACAATGGTACCTAGTGTAGGTACATTTGTTGTCCTCAAAGGGTGAAATGAGAGAAAATTTTCTGCATTGAGAAAACAAATATCAATCCAATTTCATGAAAATATAAATAAATTATTATTTGCCATGACGGCATAGAAGGAGCAGTCATCATGAATGATATCTTAAATTTTAACAATTGTATCATTTGTGAACGAATTCACTTCTATTTTTTAACATAAGGGAAAGTTTCAAGTTTAATTTTATAATAAACTATAAACTTTATGGGAGATATAATATCCATAAAAATATTCAAGTAGTTTGACATTGGCTTCAACAATGATATGGCAACCTCTTCGTGCGACGTGAGTTGCTGCAAAGCTTGCGAGGTGAGCTTGAGGGCCGCAGACGCAGGCTGCAGCTGATCGCGTACAGGAGTGATGGAATACAACGCTCCTGGACGTATGAACAAAGATGGGATGCTGCTCAGCTGCACCAGCGACACAACGCTGCACTCTTGCATCACGTGCACTTTACCATTCTGTAATATGAGTACAGGTATAAAATTCCATTTATATTTAATAATTATGAATCTAGTAACATATTGACAAACATGGGTTTTGTTTTGGAGACTGCATCGAATGTTTACATAAAAAAATTCTTTAGCATACAGAAGCCTTATCATAAAAACACGTACAAATACTAAAGTTAAAATGTTCTGCATTAATTGCCGCAAAGCATGTAAGTTATTCATAGTACTGGAGTGAACAAAGTATAACCCTGTAGGGCTTGACCCTAAGAATTTATTCAAATTCTCACCTTGATTCTCTCGGCCACGAGAGCGGCTTGACCAGCAACACAGTTAATGGTAACTTGGGGTATGCAGACCTGCTCGTCTTCCTCACTTCATGTAAAAACAAAATAAGAAAATATTTATAACAAATCCTATACCTAATACAAATATTGGGTTGTGCAAAAATTTCTATAGGTCTAACCAGTTGAAAAATATAGTGGCTCTTTGAGCGTGCATCCTCATTACTTATACTTATATATTAGGATACCACCAATACCTCGCCTTTAACAGGACATTAGTCTACAGAAATAATAATGCTAAATCTAACTCAAAAAATTTGAGTCTAGCATTTAAAATGCTAGACAAAATTTTTAATGTAGGTATAGCACACGAAATGTCATTTTGGGGTAGCTCAGAGATACCTTAACCCAATTAATATAGTGCATCGAGTATTACTCATTCACATTAAGCCTGATAAATAAAGCAGATAATTCAGGTCAATATGTAGTGGTTACTTGAGCCTGAAACTGAGAAGGATATTAACTGGTTGTGATATATATTTCACCCTTATTGCAGGAATTCTGATGAGTTCCATGGCATTTGGAAGCAAGGCTAGGATTGCTTGGTGGCCCATAAAAATAAGAGATAAATAAGATAAGATACTAATAACAGATCTTATAAATTATAAGACATATGCTGTAAAAAACTTGCGTTGAATATTTCTTCATCTGTTTATTCTCAGCAGAAATAACTTTGGTTTGTAACCAAAAATTTTCCCCAGCAAGTTCAGACCTGTCATTTGATTGCGCTGTGTAGAATATGTTGCCTCTCCACATGCAATCAATAAACTCCTCAATAATTTGGCTTGCATCATTGGAGATAAGGAGAGGCAGAGCAGACGGCCATCCCAGCACATTAGCAGGGTCAGGAGTGACAAATGCGATGCAAGCATTGTGCCATAACTGCAGTCTGTGTAGCGCTGCAAACACCTCACACACTTCCCTGGTTCCTTATGTTACCGACAAGTTGTCCGTGTACGTGTACACTACACAAAATGTGAAGTGTATGAAGGGACGTTCCTTATGTTACCGTGTTCAACACACACTTGCATATGTGATGTGCATTAATCAAAGCATGGACATTTCTACAAAATTGTTAAGGGAGCAATGATAATTTTCTCAATCAAAAATACAGTTTTGCAGCTTTTAAATCAAACTAAATAACTTAATACAGCACCAAACTGAAGTAAACGAGTAAAAATGCCATTACATTCACAGTATACAAAAAGTGCACCAATTATCTATATTAAAATTAACTTTTTCCACAATATGTGCACTTCAGGTTCTCTTCACTGAGATCAACTTCAAAACTGCCTAGTGCACTATAGGGGCTCAAAACAAGAAAAACTCACCCTGGATCAGGGATATATGACTTGACACACCATACGACTTGCACAAGATAGCTTCCTACATCACCAAAGCTGTCTGCTGCCTCATGCAAGCGCTCTGCCAGGGCCAGGAAGTCTGGTGATCTGAGAAGTAATTCAGTCAAAACAAAACTGAAACCTCTTTGCAAAATTTCTTATACCTATCAAAAACGAGAAAAGACATATGGTATAATAAACTAATGAAATTGCAGGGATACCAAACCAGGTGTCACTAATGGTTTTATAGCTTGTTGTCTAAGGCAGATTTTGAGGGGTGTAAAGTGCGAATGACTACAACAACCGATTAGTATAATTTCAATATTCATTACAATTTAAATAAGTTTTCTGAAGATACCATATAACACTGCATAGGTATGCAACATTGTAAGCAAGATCTCATGAAGAATTTTTTACTGTTTTTTTTTCACTACCAGTAATATTCTGATATCACTAACCTGAATTCATCATCACTTTCTTGAGAATCAGAACTGGAATGTGGATCCATTGAAGAGAATTCTGCCAGTGGAGATTCTTCATCAAGAGAGTGTTTGATGAGCCTCACATGGCTGTTGTTGGGTGCCAAGCCTTCCTGTTCATCTGACTGTTTCTCACCAACAACAATTGACCATATATTTACAAATGAAGTTTCTGGCTTTTTCTTGCAAGAAAGATCTTTTAGAAAGTTGAAGCTCTTCAACAGTTGCTCTTTGAAAAATTGCTGCTGCCATTCTGCAAATGAAACCTGTATTAGTAGATGAAATTATTTCAAAGGATTGAATATGATTTAGAATAATTACCTATCCATAATGGTATATATACAGTATATATGAATTAATGCAACTTCTGCTGAAAGACCAGAGAGTAATGCTAGTATATATATTTAAAAAATTTTTGGAGATGGAGTTTCAAAAAAAAATTTTATTTTATTGGTAAAAAGTTTGAAAAATATGAAAATTTTCATTTTCTAATAGGAAATATAAATTGGCAAATACCAATTATATTATTTGAGATTTTTAATATATTTCATATTTTGATGTAAGGACAAATATCAGATAATTTAGACACAACACAAAAATTTAAATTTCTCTGCAAAAAATTCCAAAGACCTGACAAACCCAGTTGTTTATACTGCACTCTGCATAACCATAACAACTTCCATAAATTACTCCCACTTTCAAGAATGTATATATGCTATTAATAAGGCAGGAAGCATTGGAAATGGCAGTTATACAACTCTTTATTTTTATTCTATTGCTGCCATGGCTTGTACCACATTTATGCAAAAAGTGAAACTTGGTAACATCAATGAAGAATGACATGCATTTAGGAAAATACAGTCAATATGTTATGGTGAAATAGTGGATTGAATATGTCATTCAAACCAATGTGTTATGGTGTTTTGAATGGTGAAAAACAAGTTTATACCATGTATCTATATAAAATTTATAGATGAGAAAATGACTAAATAATAATTATCGCTATTATTGCATCTAAAATTTGATGGAGACAATAATATCTTACCTGAACAAATAAAAATCAAATTTTTATCCATTTCTCATCAGTGTATAGTGCTTTTGCTTTACTATTTTGATATAATAGTGTAATAATACTTATGAAAACTTAGACAAATAATTCCAGTAAGACATGTATGTATATATTTTTTTAATTGTATGATTACAGACAAAATGCAAATAACAATTTCATGATCTTTTAATGAATTAAAAAAGTGATTTATCAAATCAATGCAGATAACATGCTGAAATAACAATAAATATTTTAACTGCAACCTGCAGGTGTTGCACAACTTAATTTATAATGGTTGCATTCAAGATGACAAAGCAAATGTAGAGTGTAGACATTTTACAAAATTGCTCACTTTGGACCCAAAATATTTCATTCATAAGTAGGGAAATTCTAATCTTGATTTTTACCTATTATTTAAAGGAAATTTTGGTTGATATTCCAGATTGGCAAGCATTAAATTTATAAAAATTTTCAAGCAAGACTATAGCTTTCCTACAATTATTAGAACCACAAGATTTTTTTATGAATCCTATTAATTAGTAGGGTAAACGCGGTATATTCCGACACTTTAAGGACGCATCGAGAAATGAAAAACTATAAAAAAAAAACCGTATGCGTTACGTAAGTTCTGTTGCCTTCACATGACTCTCAAAACACTTCACTACGCGTCAGCAACGATGTCCTACAATGTCGGAATATACCGCGTTTACCCTAACAAAAATATGCAACCAAGCAATAAGATTTCATACTAATTAGAATTATTTCACTTTGAATTCATAATATTTTAGTAATATGTTGGAAAGTTTTAGTTTTGATTTTGGCAATACAAAATAAACAATAATACTGATAAAATGGTAAAACCTTGAGTCTACAATTACAAACAGTTATATTCCTAGTAAACAGTGTGGAATTCTGTATAGGTAATATATTCTCATGTCAATATAAGAAAACGTATCGAAAAACCAACCCTACCACCGCGTTACAGTTACACCACCTTCCACTGCAATGAAAATTGGTAAACTGAGCTCATTAGGAACTTCTGCGCTTCCGAAATCGCGCGTGNTTATTTTCTCATTTATTCCTTGAAGTGTGACAAACAAATAGGTCTTCCATCATGCTCGTTTCCATTTGAATTAAAAATAAATGATGCGCATTTTGAATGTATGTGTGGCCTAAGCATTCGTGTGTATTTTTGAATGTATGGCCTAAGCATTCGTAAACATTGTGAGCCTGTGAAAGGAGCTGTGTGTAGAGCAGGCCTATCTACAAAATTTCATGTTGGTCTAAATATTTTCTAAATGCAAATTAACTCACATTTACCTTCCATTGAAAAAAAACGTAAATTTTTATAAGATGTTTAACGTTGCAAATGGATTTTTGCCTAGAATCACACAACACATGTCTTGAATTGCTCATAAAATTGTCTCATGATTTTAATGATTTTTAGTTTCTTTAATTATATTAGTCGTAGCTATAAGGTAGTGGCCTTCTCAAGTTATTCTGTTTGAGCTTATATTTAATTGCAGGTGAACCACTTTTGTTCACTGGTTGGTCAAAACATCTTAACAAGTGTTTCCCAAACTTTGTATGTTTGACTCTTTTTTTCTTTATCATAAAATTTATCATTCTCAAATATTCAAGTCCGCGCCTCCGCGGTTTAGTACTACGCTCTCGTCATACTCGTATAACGTATATGTTAAACTGTGACAGCAGCAAGAGCGTTATGTCAGCATTGTCAGAGATGAAGATCTTGAACTTGCCTCTCAGACTCTTGTAAAACCGTGTTATATTTTTGCAATATCGTAAGGTAGGCATTAGCATGAGCTAAACTACATGTGAATTAGGGAATAATGTTTAACTGCTGTCTCTAGGGCAAAATTTGAGCTTATTCATGAATCGTGATCGCACGCTGCGCGCGTGCCATCGCCGCCAAGAGTTTGAAACTTCGAGGTTCAAGAATGGCTTTCCACGGCTTGAGAAATTGGCTTACGGCTTGAAAATTTGTTATTTCGCGGCTCAAAAAATCCAGTCGCGGCTCACAGAGTAGATCTTTTCCTCCCCTGGTTGAGTGAAAGGTGCAGGCATAAAACTTCCAAGTGGTTAGGTACTTTATAGAAACTGAGCAAGTTAGCCTATGTATTTTATGCCTTTAAGAAGTTCATTTTTTGCCTCAAATAACGATGTTGGGTAGAAAAAGTGGTCTTGGTGGATCAAAATAATATATGAACGTTCAAAATTAGAATTCCATCCTAGTACTAGTAGTAAATGACAATTGATGAATTATTTTTCTATCTAATCATTGATAAAAGAGCATGACGCAATTTAGTTATTGATACTAATGCACCATTGAGTCATTGACCATTTTTCAAATTTACTAAAAATATGTATATTTAGAGCCTCAAGCAATTTATGATGGAGAATTAATTTTTTATTCTAAGCCTAAGGTAGTGGAGAATCCAAAATGGTTCCAATTCTAAACATATTATGACGACATGATTCGTCATGATCAAATAATGCCTCATTCTCACTCCACAGAGACAGAGGCAGACCTGCCAGACCACAGTCAGACAGTCTCCACTAGGACTCCAGTCTCCAATCAGTCCAAATGTCCAATGAGCAGGTACTTGGTAGTCAATTCATGCTACATGTAATGGAGCCTGAGTAAACATTTAATTTTGGCGAAACAAAATGAATGCTAAAATCTATCGCATTTCTGTCTGGAGTCAGGATATTCTAATAAAGTTCGGTAACTTTTTCCCAGAGTTAATAGACAGATCTCAGACAACACACTTCTTCGAAGTGCCGCTACTACACAACACAACACGATGTAAACAAAGATTTGCCCTGAAGTTAATAATTTATGCGCCAAAATTTACAAGTTCCTTGCGAGGTTACGTAATGTTGCTATAAAGTTCTGCACATAACGAATCAAATGCGAAGGAAATGTAAAACCCCTCTTCATACCCACACTCAATACTAATTAGCGAAACATTTTGATCCATTCAAGTTAACATTTCAATGGCTTATTTGCTGCAATGCAATGAACATTCAACAAAATTTTTACGATAGGTAAATTTTAACCAAATCATGTTTTTCAACACGAGGCAAATTCTGGGGCGTTTAAAAGTAAATTCAGTCGACTACACATGCTCGATTACACGGCGACTTTACATGCTATTTTGCACGGCGATTACAGAGTTCCTACCATCGATGAATCATACAAAAAAATAATATAGCGTCACAGTAGCTCCCAGAAATAACTGCTTGATCATTGCGGGAAAAAAAAGTTTATTAGCAAGCTAAGGACCGCACTACGTGCTTAGATATCTTGAGCATCTTGAGGATTTGCGGACGTAGAAATGTCATAGCTCGAACATATATCTCAATTAATTATTCTCAACACTATAATAATAGTAATAATAATAATAATAATAATAATAGCGGTTTCAGCGTTTAATAGGCCGTAGACCTGTCGCCGATTCTTAACATTGCAGAACATCCACAGCTTGTTGCGGTCTCGAACTACCGATTCGACACTTCAGCGAACTCGCGTGCGAACTCGCCTGCGAGCTCGAACTTCATTTTCAACTCTGGCACGCATAACTCCTTCAATTATGAACGACTGATATTATCTACTTATATTTCAAATTTGAATAAAATCCGTTCATAATTGAAGGAGTTATGCGTGCCAGAGTTGAAAATTAAGTTAGGTTTTCCATTCGAGCTCGCAGGCGAGTTCGCACGCGAGTTCGCTGAAGTGTCGGACCGGTTCTCGAACTCACAACTCTCTTATTCAATTTCTGCTGTGCTTAGGTACCGCGCCTCTCTGCGTCAATCTTGGTAGTCTGAACTTTAACCACTGGGCCACCCAGCCCCTACCACTGGGCCACCCAGCCCCTACCACTGGGCCACCCAGCCACTACCACTGGGCCACCCAGCCCCTACCACTGGGCCACCTAGCCTCCGAATATTATACCTCTGACGGACTTAAAACTTCTAATCAAAATTTAAAGCTGTTGTGCAACTATTCTGACTCTGATCGCGATGTACATGTATTAGTAATACTAATGGTAATAGCGGTGTCGACATTGACTAGGCATTTTATATTTTCGAATAAATGAATATAAGTGGTGTAGATTTAAAAAACCTTTATTATATTTAGGAAAATAGAGCGAATAATACACACTAGACAGAAGAAATAACTATTTCATAATTAACCCCATCTCTGGCCTAAAATGATGAATTATTAATTTATTAAAGGAAATTTTAAAGCTAAAATCACCTCTTTTTGTTATATAATAATCATATTTAAAGAGATAAAGTTCTTTTTATAATAAATAATAATAGTAATAATAGCGGTTTCAGCGTATATTAGGCAGTAGGCCTGTCGCTGATTCTTAACTTTTCAGAACATTCACAGCATGTTGCGGTCTCGAGCACGCAACTCACTGCCCCAATTCTGATTTCCTTAACCGCCCGGCCTCCTCGCCGATTCTGACCGGAAACTGGCGCACAGAGCTGGGATCGAACCCGCACCTCTCTATCTCAGCTCAACTGTGATACACTGATACAATTGTAAACTGTAACCACTTCACGAAAATTTGTTTGCTGCGAAAAATTGGTGACTTGACTTTAAACAATTTGGCAGTAAAGTGTTTTCCTTCACTTTACCTCCAGTGTTCTTCGATGTCGTTATCGACTGAGAAAGTCTCAGATTTGCTAAAGTACTAAATAGTAATAGTCATAAAATTTGAAATACGTCAGAACTATCAGGTATAAATTTAGATTGGATCATAATTTTAAGGTATATATATTTTTCACTTTGCGTGTATGCAAAAATGAACATCGCGATTTGTTACAAGCCTTCATTTCAGTATAATATGTTTTATGACAAACTAACTGCTCAAGATGTACTGAGATTCTACCACATACATATAACTGATGCTCGTTTATGATTGTATGACAAATACATCAACAAACGCACTCCGGTGCTGGAATTTCACCTAAAAATTACTGTCAATTCTAAGTTTCTTGAAATCTGGGTTATCATTATTTGTTCAAATTTATAAAAAAGTATTACATAATGCCTCAACTTAAGTTCCATCGAAGCATCGATACGCATGGTATCACGCTTGGTTTAATTAATAACGTATTAATTCAACCATGGTAGCACGTACTACTAACTGGGTAGAGATTCAATGACTGACTAATATTTTCACAGCGCAACTGTTT